ATTCTATATAATCAAGTCTATATTCTCAATAATCTTAGTTTAACTTGATAAAAACTACCCCAGTGTTATAATTTATATTATAAGACAGTCATGTACTAAATTGACATAGGTGTTCAGAAAGGGAGTAATCATCAAGACTTTAAGTAATCAAGGAAGACTTAACACAATCCCAAAGTTTAACGTTAAACAGTCTTAAAACTAGCTAAATTATTCTTTCTGTGTATAACTCTTCAAAGTTTTAAAAAAGAACATTTGAATCCTCAGATCATTTTTTTGTTGTTAAATGTGTTTACAATTCAATTAGGGTGTTCTGTTATAATTAGGTGTTACCTAAAATGAGGAAAAAAAAAATAATCAACTACTTTGACAGTCTTTGCTTACATATTCTGTTATCTTCATATTCTGGGAACAAGTTCGGTAAAACCCATGCATTCAAAAGTATTTGGTGAGTATTTTCGATGTGGCTAGCAGGAGCACCAGAGCAGAGTCCCTGTCCTTGTCGACCTTACATTCTAGTTGGCAAGGGGAGTGGTGGGGAATGGGAAGTGGACATGAAAATGGTCATTCAGGGAAGGGAGGACTATGTCGTCATTTTCAATCAGGTGGTCAGAGAGGGGTGACTAAAAAGATGATATTTCTTCAGAACCAGTGAGCAAAAGTTGACAATATTTATGACATTTTTCTAAAAGCTTTAACAATTGATTTTTCTCATAAGAATGTATTTTCTAAAGGTGTGAAGGAGAACAAAAATAAATGCTCAATTCCATGTGCCCACTCAATGATTTTTCAGATGAATGCACTGGACACCCTTGGTCAGACTGCTTTGCACAGAGCTGCCCTCGCAGGTCACCTGCAGACCTGCCGCCTCCTGCTGAGCTATGGCTCCGATCCCTCCATCATCTCCTTACAAGGCTTCACGGCGGCGCAGATGGGCAACGAGGCAGTGCAGCAGATTCTGAGTGGTGAGTTAAAGTAGATAAACAGTGTATTTTATGCCTTTTATTCCATCTCCACTGAAATACACATTCAGCCCTTTGCCATGTTTTCTTTGCCTGAATTTTTTCCATGCTTTTTCTTGCCTGTGTAATAGTCTGACCTTTTTATAATTCTTAACTTCATTGCACTATTATGAAATTATCTTGTTTCCTGGTTTAAATTATAATTATAAAATCTTGCTGAATATTGCAGTGTCTGCCTAGTACAGTGTTAGATATTTTAACTACCTGTATTTAGTTTATTGAGGGAGATCATACATAAAGTGATATGAAAATAAGCTCTGGCTTACTAAGTCTCAAAATTAAAGGAAATTACAGTCTACTTACTAAAAAATGGTGAAATAGATTCAAAAGAAATGTAGTATAATTGATTCCTTTCCCAACCTTTTATCTGTGGATTATATCTACTGTAGAATAACATAACAAACTGGAAGAATAAAATGGAGAAGGCCACAGACTAGAAGTCAGAAGTTCTGGTTACTTTTTTCTACCCCATAGCCCAGTAGTTTCAAACTCTCTCAGGCACAGTGTCCCCCTTTTATAATGAATATTTTACAACATCCCCTTTACTGTCCAGAAATGAAATTTGTAGATAATATGATCTAACTATTATATACAGGTACATTCCCAAACTCTATATAAAATACCCGAAAGGGAAAATGACAGTAACTTATAATTATTAATGTAACAGCTTGGGCATGGCTACACTAGAAGAAAAAAATTGACCCCACAAATTTCTAAAGGGCCCCCAAGAAGTACAGCCCAGTTGAGAATCACCGCTATATGCTGAAACAGGGAACCTTCCAAGGCATATAGAGTTTATGATATGCGCATGTTGTTAGAGCTGGATAGGAGTTAAACAGCCTCACAAAACTAATTGTACAATATGGCAAAAACTGTTCAGGACTGATATTTTTCTCATGCTATAGTTTATTCTAGAGGATGGTCATTCTACTT